AAAGCGATTTAGTGCAAACTTGCACGAGTATTATTTTAAGCCACGGCTACACGAGCGATTTTTCGCTTGCCCATGCGACGCGATTTTCTCAAAATCACCAGCGCAAGTTGTGGCTACATGAGCGTCAATGCTTAATCGATAAAAAAATCCTTACAAATRCTTACTTGAACTTCCATAAAGAGGTATATGTACAAAAACAGCTCAAACTCGATGTTCAGCTTTCATCTTACCCGATAATCGCGTCGCCTGCGCAAGCAAAAAATCGATCGTGTAGCCRCGGCTTTAGATTYACACTGAGCAAACTATTAGAATTTCCAAAAATRTATTATTCTACTGATTTGATTTCGTTTGCCAGGAAAGTCACGCTTCCGGAACCCCTGRAAACACTTCCTACACACGCGCCTGGAATGTACTTACCATTTCTTATTGMTTATATTATATTAGTCTCAGCGCTAGGGCTTTCCATTTGATTCGRTTRTTGAAATGCATGTGACTAAGCTKGRAKGAAGCCAGACGTTTTCTCGAAAACCACTGAAGCGCAGTGACTGACACTTCTTTATCAGATTCCATCTTGACCAGCCGACTTGCGAATCATCTCGACTCGTCTTGATTATTTTGTGTTTGACAACTGAGGCAAAATCACAAATCGGTTATTTAATAGTGTCGCTATTTGATGGTTCTTTGAAACCGCTCAAAGCGACTTGTACTGGATCGATGTATTATCACGCATGCACTGCTGAGCGCATTGATCGCACGCACAAAATGTCATATATCATTCAGCAGAGTTGCGTGAATCATATCTTTCAATTTTATATTTCAGTTGTCTGTTTAAAAACCATTACATCTACTTCCACATTTGTCAAAGTAACAGCTGTTTCTGGTGTACTTCTAACTGTACTGCACAACACACCAGAAGCATTAGAATCCATACAAAAGGTTTTACCACTGGCGATAAAACTTCTTGGAGTCAGAGAAGGATCTATTAGCTTTATTGTGAAGTCATCCAGTTTGTCAGCCTTAAAAGAACTGTGGTCAAGCTATAAGGATGGATCACTTCAAGAAAACATCAGAAAAGCTCTGAATGACATCAAAGAAGTCAGAGAAGTGTTTAATGGAGAGGAGATTGACGTGGAAGTCACCATTGATGAGGATGAATACAGGGATGCATGCTGGGACACCGTTCTCCTGCAAATGGCAGGTAAAATGAGCTTCCTTTTTTGCAATATGGCTCCCAACTCAGAAACAATTACCAATTATGATGCAGCTTTCATGTCCAAGCAGGAGGCTGGGATCGAGTTTTAAAATTGAAAAAATCGCCAAATCACAATTGATAATATCCTCAAGTTTTGTTTAGTTGAGATGACTATCTAAGAACTTGAAGAAGCTGTTCAGCTGTTCAAAAATGTTAAAATTTACAAAAGAATGTACAGATTGTGGGGAAAGCATTCCCTGCAATCTATACATGTACACTTGGATAAGAGAGTTTTTGAATGGCTATAATTTTTTTAAATATAGACTAGATTTCCACCAAACTTTGTGTTTTTATTGATTTAGATTTGCTTTTTCAGATAAAATAGGTCACACACCGATTTGTACAATTTTAAAACATGGACATGAAAGCTGGCAATCGATCTCGCGTATTCTTATCGYTATTTATTCTCTTTTGTTACGAGCTTTAGCCCGTTTGCGTCTGASAACCTCTGTGATTGCTTGTTTTGTTTAAAAAAAATATTCATTTGTTGTTGAAAATTGCCTTGTCAATATTCAAATTGTGATCTATATTCAATCTTTTGATTTGGTATTTATTGATTTATTTATTATTTCCCTGGTATTATTTTCATGTATATTGCTTTCGCAGTTATTATTGAATTGTTGTGCTTGCACAAAGGGTTTACTTAATACTACAAACATCTTTAACGGTTACAATAAGCTTGATTTGCATATAATCATTATATTCAAATATATTGTTAATTACATATCTTGTTAATATATTCAAAGATCGAGATAAGCCGACAGTTGTGAGTTCATCTGTAAGCAGAGAACATGGGAAATCGTCATGTGACATGGATTTACCCAGAACCACCATGACCGGTTTGGCCTGGAGCGATTGGATTAAAATTAGAGAAATCTACAACGAATCAAGGATAGAAGGGAACAAAAGGAGAAAAGCAGAAAAGAAGGTTTCCGAGCTAGCGCGTGAGCTACACATCCTTGAGAACGAGAAACAACCCTTAGTAAGTGAGAGGATTGTTCAGTTACAGAGCGAATTACAAAGAATCCAACATGAACGTGAAGAAGTGAACAGGGAGAATGTGAGTTTGAAGAGCAAGTTGGACGAAGTAACATTAAAACTGCTTGCAGAGCAAGAGTTTCTCAGTAATAAATTAGATCCTTTATGGGAAAGCAAACCAGAAGAATTGTTGAAGGTTTTTCAACAGTTGACAACTGATCTAATCAAGAAAGCACCAGACACAGTGGCTGAGAGGTTGTCAGATTTGTCAAAGAAAATAATCAGCCATCCTGAACTACATGTTGATGGTCTGATACAAGTGATACAGGAAAACACTAAGGTACTGGAGAAGCTACCATGGGGCTACCTTAATGGTGGTAGTAGAATGAAGCTTACCTCAGCTATAGAAACTATGACAACTTGGGTTGCTGAGCAACTTGTTAAACATCCTGACCTGAGCACTGATGTATTGATTCAAGTGATGCAGGAAAACACTAAGGTACTGGAGAAACTACCATGGTATCTACTTGATGATGGTAGTAAAAGTAAGCTGACCTCAGGCATAGAAGCTATGATGGCTTCAGTTGCTGAGCGACTTGTTAACCATCCTGACCTGAGCACTAATGTATTGATTCAAGTGATGCAGGAAAACACTAAGGTACTGGAGAAACTACCATGGGACAACATTGATGATGGTGTAAAAAACAGGCTGACGTCAGATCTGCAAAGTATGATAAAACATGTAATTCAGCATTTGTCTAAACATCCCGAGATCAGTAATGACGTTTTTAAAAGTATACTTTGCATCAGTGAAGCTATTTTGAAGAAGATTAGTTGGACTGATCTTAACAGCGATTTGCAGAACCATGTCCTTTCGTGTTTGGACGAGCTGATGAAATTAGTGTCTAAAAGAGCCCTTGACCATGGCGTACGTGAAGTACTAACTGACGCCGTATCTATTATACTTACGATGTCATCTCTACTCCCACAGTCTTCTGATATTACTTCACGATTACAGTCACATCTTGAAGCCATGGTAGATTCAGTTGAGGAAGGACGTGCTTTGGGCTCCTACAATTTGAGTAGTGAAGCGATGATAGGCATGATGACTGCTGCATTAAATAAACTGAAGCCTGGCAACAAACTCTCATCTGAAGCGTTACTGGTCATTTTGTCAATAGTGTCTCGTATTACCAAAGATGAACTA